ACCCTGAGACGTTCCTTCAGGAACTCGAGCTGCATCGGAGAACGCTTTGGGAACAAGCATGCCCACGCCGCCAGACTTTCAAATCTCTGCCTAGTGTGGAAGCCTGCACAGCTAGGGCGAGAGAACAGAAGAGCCCGGAATGACTCGCATTTCTAGGTCATAGAACCTGACAAAGGTTAGGGGCGTGGACCATCCCGTAGCGTTGCAGATGTCCTGCATAGAGACACCTGCCAAGAAGGTCTTGGAGGCCGCCACACTTCTCGTAGAGTGAGCCTTGACCCCTAGAGGCGAAGGGAGATCAGAAGACTCATAAGCGATAGAGATGGCATCTACTATCCACCGACTGAAGGTCTGTTTTGTAGCTGGAATACCTCTCTTAGGGGGACCACAACAAACAAGCAGTTGGCCCACCCTTCTCCACAGGGCAGCTCTGTGGACGTATGCGTCCAGTGCTCGCACTAGACACATACAATTAAGCTTCTGCTGGTCTGGCTCCCTGGAGGGAGGAGGACTGAGGGCCTGGAGTACGACAGGCCGTGGTGTAGAGGAGGGGACCTTAGGAACATACCCCGCTCGAGGGAACAGAAACGCTTTGGCCAGACCGGGCGCAAAGTCAAGATAAGACGGGGCCACTGAAAGGGCCTGCAGATCTCCAACTCTCTTGAGAGAAGATATTGCCAGAAGGAAGGTAGTTTTGATAATAAGGTGGCGATCAGAGATCTCCTCAATAGGCTCGAAGGAACTTCAGTCGCATGACTGAGCGGTTCAAATGACGTAGATCTAACGAGACTGATCTCTGGTGTAATACGAGCAGCCAGCTCGGTGCCCTGTAATGGCGAACTGGCAGGGAACAACCGAACCAGCTGCTCTAGAGACCTCCGCAGAGGTGGCGAGCCTCTTAGCACCGCTACGTTCCCGGGCGGTGAGTGAGAGTGGCGCTCGCGGGAGACCGCTGTGCCCTGTAACTCCGGCAGGGTTAGCAGACCGATCTCCTGAGGGCACTGAGGCGAGACGGACACCGTGTAATGCGGTGTAACCCGCTGCACCCCAGAGGGGACTGCCCTCATGAGTCCTGAGCCAGTGGCGTCAGGACTTTTTGGCAGAGGACCTCTTAGTCTTAAGTACGGTCTGCAGATCCGGCTTAGACTTCGAGGCCCCCGACCTAGAGCGCCGCCTCGACCCACTGTCTCGACAAGGGGGAGTACGAGAGGCCACACTCTGTTTCTGTGTGTCCCGGTATGAGGAGCCGGTACCCGGAGGGTGCTGCTCTCGCCCAGCAGCCCCCAGAGCTAGAGAGCTTGCGAGGGAGAAACCGCTGTAACGCCGCCGCCTGTTTACGGGCCTCCTGGTACCTGTCGACGACCGAATTGACGGTGTCGCCAAACAGGCCAGTAGGCGCAAGCGGGCCATTAGGCAGACCTTGTCTGCCAGTTCCAGCTGCGAACCCCACGAGCGTAATCGCCGCTCCGCCTTGGCGGAAGCGGGACCCGCACCGCGGGGAGCACTAGTGAAGGCACCCTCCTCAAAGAGTGCCCTCCGGGAGCGGAAAACATGCATCGCAAGACGCTCGCAATGCGGGCAGTCAGCTCTCTCAAGAGCCGACTCCGCATGCTCCGCTCCCAGGCAGACAACGCACAGGCTGTGTGTATCCCCACCCGTAATGAAACGCGGGCAGGGAGGAACACACAGTCTGAAACGCTGCCCACCTTCGCCCCTTAACTGGTCTTTCCTTTTCTCACTTTATTTTCTATGGGACAGACAGCACCAAATAAGACTCACAACTGACACACACACAGAGCGCTTGCTGAATGACAAAAAGCTGACGCAAAGAGGAACTGAAGGGTCTGGAGAGATTCTGGAAGAAGGGGTGTCTGATCTCCTGTCAGATGTTCTCTAAACTCTTCAGGCATTATAGGTGAAGACTCAGAGCTGTTCTCTTGGCAAAAG